TCTCTCTCTCTTTCATTCCGTCTCGTCTTTTTTCTCTGCAGCTATTTCAATTTCCATTTTCTTGTATACACACACACACATACATATACATATACATATATGTGTATGTATGTATAACCTCCGAGCAACATCTCTCGTGCTAGAACTACATGTAAATTCATGTTGGAGAAATCACGGTCTATTACTAGATGGCTTTTGTGGGATGGTACCGTGCATAGGACCCACGTATCAGACAGATCCACGATGGAAATCTACCGCATGCATCACCGCACTGTTATCATTTTCTTGTGCACTAGAAAGAAAAGCTGTATCCGTGTTTATATATATATATATATGTATATGTGTGTGTGTGTATATGAGCTCAAAAGGATCCAAGCTTCGTTGTTTCAGTGGTTGATGGGTCTTGTTAAATGAAACAAACAGTACCCCCAGAAGCAGACTGTCCGATCTCTGTGCGTGTTCTTGCGACAGAATAAGACAGGGAAGGCGTATATATCGTGTATATAAAGTGTGTGGATATGAAACCCTACTGCTAAAATTAAGAAAAATTAATCTAATATAAAACAATTTTTTTTATCTCAAATTAATCTAATTTGTTTAAGATGTTAGTTTGCCAATCAATTTTTACACCCAAAAAAAAAATCTATATATCTTGAGCATCTCTTGCTCTTATATATACCATATTATTTTTTTTTAGTAAAAATTTATATATTTTAATAATCGAAGTATTGTTTATATAATTTAAAAAAAGATATAGTCTGATTCGAACTTATAATCTTTATAAAAATAGTGAAAATACCGAATATTTAGAATAAAAAATGGTCAGAATAACTTTTAAACGAACAGAGTACTTTTTTAATCGGACAAATTTTGACAATATAACTCGCTAAGATTCCACTAAAGTTTAGTGACATTATTGGGGTTAGGTTATAGGTTGCGAAAATTAAATTCTTAGTAGTCCGACACTCGTGCCATAGACCCGTATCGTAAGAGACCACGTATTGATCGAATAAATTATATAAGTTGATAAATTATATTTGGTTCACAAAAAATTCATCATCTCAAAACTCCTATCTTAATGTAAATAATGCATAGTGTAGAAAAATTCTCACAGTGTTTTTGATTACTTACAAGACTCAAGTAAGTAAGTTAAATGAGAGAAGAAAAGTCAAAGTAAAAAAATAATTAAAGCTAGTAGCTTTTTCATCCCTATTTTTAGTCCTTTATATATATATACATACATATACATATAATAATTTAAAAAAAGAACAAAGAAAAAAGAAAAGAAGGAGAAAAGCTAATAGTTGGGTGTTAGAAGCGAAGCTAGTAGAAAAGCACTTTGGGTATCCCAAGGTGGAGTACTACTTTCTTGAAAAGGAAAATGGAAAGAGAGAAGTCACGCTGAAAAGAATCCGTCATACACCTATATATATATATGTGTGTGTGTGTGTATATATATGTGTGTGTGTAGTTGTGGATGTATATGTATATCATCTGGTTGGCCAACCCAAGCCGAAGGCATTGTAATTTAGGACAAAGTTTGGGTATCCCAAGGCCATTCTGTATGTATGCTTGGCCAGCATATATATATATATATACATACACATACATCCATCTCTAAATTCTGCATGATTTTTGTGCCATCAAATTCGGTGTCTTCATTGTTTATTTTGCTCATATCCATTTTCACCCTTGACCACCTTGACAGTTGACATGATAAGTTTAGATTTTATGTTAAATTAATACAAATTCATCAAAAAAACATATATACACACACACACATATATATATATATATACATGTATATATATATATATGTTACATCTTTAATAAATATAATAATTACCACCCAGTAAAAGTATTTATTTACTCACAAATAATAATGAATAGATACTCCAAATATTTTACAAAAATTATAAAAACAGAATTTAAAGGTGTATTTAATTATATTTAAAAAGTTAAAATTTAATTATTTAATTTATTTAATGCACATTAATTCTTTTATTTATATGTGTGTGTATATATATATATATATATATAGATTTTGAAGACAGACAAAATAGATATACAAACACACCATAAGAGATTAACCAAGACATAACATAGCCTAAAGAAAATGGGTAATAGCCAAGAGTACTATACCACAAACTGGTGTACAGGTCAAGTGCTCCTCTCTGTCACAATAGCCAAGCTGGCTGCTTATTCTGTATTGCATGTGTATATATACATATATGTATATGTATATATATATATATAGAGAGAGAGAGAGAGAGATATAGAGAGAGGGAGAAGAGTGTGTATAAATATGAGCACGCAGTTAGTCAATATAAGGAATGTTGTTCACTTGAGGTCATAAATATATACATATATATATATAATTTAAAAAATTACATACATACATACATATATATATATATAATGTGTGTGTGTGTGTGTGTGTGTGTAAGTATAATAGAAACTCAAGATAAAGGAGTCATTAACTAATTAATGTCATCAGATATAATAAACAAGGTGAGAGATTTAAATGAAGAGCTTCCTCTTTGGTACTTATAATGAAGAAACTTCATCATCAACCTCAAATCTTAATTACAATACATACAAATACAACTGGCTTAATTAATTACTTGAGTTAATTTACTCAGAGAAACATACATAAGTTTTTATTATACATATACATATACATATACACATACATAAATATATATATATATATATATATACCATTGTTTTAGTAGAACCCATTAGACTTTGAAGCTCCTTCAGCAATTGTCTGATCCAGTTTTGCTTACTTATTGCCATCCAGCTTTAATCCAAAGTGAATATGAGGAAAATGTGCCCACTGCAAAAACCAAATATATATTACTTATAATCTCATTCTACTAATGAATCAGCTGATCATAACCATCAAAATCACAGAGTTATTAACTTCTTACAATATATATATATATTTATATATGTATATACATTCTTCAAATCAGATTTGAATTGCAATCAAAACAATCTAATTATGACTGTATATAACATTTCCATGTAATCATTAAAGATTGCAAGAAAAGAGACGAAGACAGAAAAGCTTTGATGAGGTAAGGGAAAAAAAGAAACTATTATGTGCTACCATGATCATCACAAATGCACCGTAGAGTAAGTTCATCGACACACACATATACATACATACACATATATATATATGTCAGACATGCATATATGCATGAGGACGGACACAGCAACCCACTCTTTATGCACCATTAAAAAGAACATAATTGTACATCATCTCGATTGCCTTTTATGTTTTGCTCACAGCTTTTTCAAAGGAAATACATCATATGGAATTTGAATATGATCAGAGTAATATATTACATGTGGTGGACAATCATACAGTCCTACCAGATGGAGTAACTTCAACATTCATACATTCAAAAGCTGAATACTAAATTTTCCATGATGAACTTTCCTTTTATTTTTACTAATTAATTGTTAAGATGTTATGGTATTTAATGGACTTACATTTTTGGCTGCTGTGCTAAATGCTTCCCTGTGGCTGATGTCAGGATTACTAGCCTTAATCCTTTGGATTTCTTCCCTACAAGACCAGTCAATGAATCAAACAATTTGCCTATACATATACATACATGCATATATATACATATGTATGTATATGAAAAAGCAGAGATATGGGAATTAACCAGTGGGTTTAATGGGGAAACTAAAAGGCTGAATTTACTTACTTAATAAACCTGTTATATGCAGAAGGAACTCGCTGCCTCTTCTCTGGCGCTGCAGTGTAATTAACTTTCAATATACATATATACACATATACATATATATATGATCTTTATTACAATAAAAATATAAGGTTATATTAATAATTATAATTTAGGGTTGGATGGGTGTGGAGGGTTAATGAAAGGTGAAAATTTTGCTTGTGAAAAGTCACCATCTTGGATGGACCAAGAAATGAATGAAGAGAAAAGATGAGACCTTTATTATTTACCCACATATATTTATATGTATAGCTATGTGTACGTGTGTGTGTGTGTATATATATATATATATACATATATCTACGTGTGGCAGTTTTCCATATATAAACACACATGAATCAGAATTTCCATGTCCACAGCATATACATATATATAGTAATTGGTCTCATCTGCAATGCATATCTTACTTATTTACTCAATGAATTCTTAAAATATATATATATATATATATATATATATATTATACGAGCACCAAATATATAACTTTCACGCAGTAGGACAGACATATATGATATATGAGAAAAAGGGCGAAAGAGTAAGAGGGAGACTAACGAGGAATTGGAGGCATTCGAGGTGCTTCATGCTCTATCGGTTGAAACGCAGAAAACCTACCGCATTTCGAAGAAGAGCCGAATTCCTTGCTTGAATATTCAGAGCTTACATGCGGCTTTTGCAACTTCGACAAAAGGAAACAAATCAAGAACTTATAATTGGAAATTACAAACTCAGTGAGTTACATTATATTTCGTAACTAAAAGACTATCTAACGTAGTTATATTTAGTATTGTGAGCTCGAGTTTACGATGACTGCAAGATATTAGGTAAAGAAATTAAAAAGAAAAAACAGAAAGGTGAAATTGAATCAAAGTAAATTAATTTTGAATACCTGAGGATCATGGAGAGGGAATGTTTGAAGTGAAGCTCCCATGTTTACTGAGAGCAGATTGGCACAGTGCCCGCATCTGACTGTTACAATTGTGAACAAACTTGTGCATGGAACACTTACCTGCAAACATTCATTTCCTAGTCAACATTATAATATATATATATATATATATATTGAAAATAATAGTTTGTAATAACACAAACTAAAGCTTGAATTTTTCTATTACTCTCTTATACTTCTTCCTTCTATTTTCAACGAAGTATTAGGTAGAGCTGCTACATTTTTTAAAATTTTCCTGACAATAAACACACAGATATGAATATACAAATATATATACATATATGGAATGCCTGAAAACTTAATCTTTCATGAGGACTTGGGGATCCAATTCTATAGATGGATATCACTACTTTCCTTCTTTTTCTGTGGTACATATATATATATATATCTGTATACATACACATATATATCCTGCACTAGTAAATTGAAAACTCAAGCTACTAAACTAGTCTTATAAAAAAAATTTGCAACAACTATGTGTATCAAAACCCTAGTGTAGTAGTGGAAATGCCCCATTTATATTACCTGGGAAACATTACAACTATAGATCAATTCTAGACCAAGCAACAATGCATATATATATATATATATGTATATATATGCATGTATATATACATAAGTAAGGATCACTCTGGTCTCCAGATCTGCTAAATGTATATAGGAAACAAGAACAAATATCAAAAATTAGGCAGAGAACACTTAGAAAATCAACTTAACCTTTAAATATCTTGGAGGCTGGGAAGTGGGATCAATCTATTAAGGAAGTTTAAGGGAGAAAAATGAGAACTTTTCCGTCAGGAAAGTCTCATACCAAGCAAATCGAAAGCAGAAGAAATGAAAAGAGAGGTCAAGACAAGACAAAAACAAGTGTAGATTAACAAGAATTAATTAATCAGATGAAGAATTAACCACTACTTAGTTAAACGAATAGCAGTTTCCTTCCTCTATAATAGGCTGCAAGTTCAAGTCAGGATGGTGTACTTCCTTGTGTGGTCACTTGGAATTTGTTTATATGGTGTTATAGTTGGTGTCTATATATCATTATATCATGTAGCACTGAGTGTATGGGATCTTAATCAATAAGATAAGGAGATTGACAAATTGAAAATGAAGACAAGGAGGGAAAGAAAAGATGAAGAAAGAGTTAATGGCAAAGTCTTTTACAGTCAAGTTTCTATTAATACATATATATATACATATATGTATATTCATGGCCATAATGGATATATACAAATACCAACAGTTGGCAGTAGCAGCAGGGCTTGCATAAACCTCACATGGGCAATAACTAGGAGCTGGATATTATTTGTGTTGAATTCTTTCTTCTGATTTTTTTGGCAGCTGACACCACAAGCAAAAGGATAGAGAAAGATACAAAGAAAAGAAGGCCAAGAGAGAGAGATGAAAAAGACATGACTAGAACGGAAATTAACAAATAAAGATGATGAATAAAGAAAAGATATTTGAATCATCATCAATGGGGATCCATTTTACTGATCCTTGTGCAGCGTTTAAGATCTGATCATCATCATCATCTCCATTTTTTGTCCCTCTCTCTCTCTCTCTCTCTCTCTCTCTCTCTCTCTCTCTCTCTCTCTCTCTCTCTCTCTCTCTCCTTTTTATTATATTGTTATTTATCAGAAAGAGATGGGTGAGGAAGAGAGAGAAAATGAGCGAGAGATATAGAGTAAAGTAGTTTAATACAGTCATGTTATGATCAAAGGAGGTATTGAATGACAGAGAAAGAGGTAAAGCATTTTGTGTATGTATATATATTTGATTTTCTTTTTTCAGCTCTCCTTCTCTCTCTTTCTCTCTCCATAGCTCTTGCACAAAGAAAGTGAAACAAGCCCTTTGTACCAAAAAGAAAGACAAGGAAGAAACTATGCAAGAACACTCATTAATTACTATTTATATTTTGTTAATCAAAATCTTGATCTATGTCAATGGAGCTACAGATACAGAAGAACCCATATGTTCTAAACCAAAAAAGTTAGAAACTTTTACTCATTATAACATGTAATTGTGGAAGAATAATGACCAGGATCTAAATTAAGCATATGGACAATATATAGATTGCATCACATGAAATAAGAAAGAAGATACAAGTGAGAAATGAAAAGAGAAAACCAGAAGTCTGCATATGATATATATAAATATAGGAGGAGAAGAAAGATCCCATCTTGGACTTTTGCTTTCACATTGGAGGAGAACCCTGATCCCGGTAGCCCTAGTATTTATCTGCTCAAGCCTTGTATTAATCTGCTCAAGATCATCTTTTTCTTTTTGACCCTTGAAATTGTTATTTTTTTTCCTCTAACCTAATATTTGGCTAGTCTTATATATTAATATTGTCATCAGTGGACTTCAAAATTAGAACCTGGGTCATCATCATTCCATGTTATTTTTATATAATTAACAAATCTTCATATGTTTTAGGGTAAAAGACTGAAATTTTTTCTTGCATCAAAGGACGGAAATTTTAACTCCGATTCATTTTCAAGGGTTTGAGAAAAAACCCACTTAAAAGAAAAACAAAAAGAAAAAAAAAAACCACTTGAAATTTCTCATAAAATATGACATATATGCGGCAGATTCCTTTGGGATTTCCAGGTAAAACAAGGAAACCCCTTTGATCTAGCGAAATCTCAGAGGAACTGGATTAAAAAAATCCTTTATTCCCATATTTGGAGACCCTTGAAGCTGGATTGCACCTTTTTATAGTTAAACCCCAGATCACTCAACCACAAACAAGAAAGATGGAAACTTTAACATGGTACTGTAAATGGGTCAGTACCGAAAACAACATGCACATCATGACATGAATATGAATTGAGTGCTGTTTGAAAAAAGAAAAAGAGAGAGAGAGAGAGAGAGAGAGAGAGGGAATTGAGTAGTGTACCGCTAAAATGGTGTTGCAGAAGTTGCAGTGAACATAACAAACACGTTCAGAAGCCAATTCCAGTGACATTTTATACGTATATATAAATATATTATCAGTAACCAAATTTGCAGATATAGGTATATATGATGATCCAGAGATGAAACTGAGAATTCCCTTTAAACAAGAAAGACGGCTAGCAAAGGAAATGAGTAGATCAAGAATTTAAAAAGAAATTTAATGGGGTAGAGAGAGAGAGAGAGAGAGAGAGAGAGAGAGAGTAAAAAAAGAAAAAAGAGGTAAAGAGATGGAATTAAAAGAAGAAGAAGAAGAAAAGAGATGATAGCAGTAAAAACAGTTAATTTAATAGAGAGAGAAGAAGAAGAAGAAGAAGAAGAAGAAATGGACAAAAAATGTGAAAGGACTAGACTGGTCGGGAGAGTCAAGTGGGGCAAGTGGTTCTTCCTAGAGAATTAAAATGGGGGAAGAGAGTAAAATTATGATTGATGGAATGAGTGGTGGGTGGAGTTGGAATTGAATGGAGTACTCTTGTATATATGTATGTATTTACACACGTACACACACACACACTCACACACACACACACACACACAGACATATATATATAATATCATCTATAAGAAGATAACAATTCTGGCTTTCTGTAGCGGACGAGGGGGGCGAGATATTAATGTTTTGGAATGTTTAGGGATGAGGGTAAGGCAGACACAAGTCTCTTCACATATACCTGTGAGTGAGTGAGTGAGTGAGTTAGTGACCTTGAGAGCCAGAGAGACAGAGAGAGAGAGACAGAGAGAGAGAGGGTGAGAGAGGTTTGGAATTTTATTGGGATTCTAAATAATCAATTGGGACAAATATTTCCCTAATTTTGCAGACAAATATGTATATGAAGAGGCTTTATTATAAAAATTAATTTTGTATTTCACCCATATTTTAGTTTGATCTTTTAATAAATTGTAGTAGTTTAATCGACTTATTATTAAAAAATAAATAAATTTTACAATATATAATTATATAAATTTTATCTCGTAAAAAATATAGATAACATGATCATCAAGTATAATTTCATTTTCTATTTAAATTTTTTTCTAATTTTACAAATCTAAACCCGATACGATGCTAAGTATCTTTTTCACCTTTGCTTTATCTCTCAATTCACACCATATAAATATGCTTCTTTTAGCTTTGGTTTATCTTTTTTTTTTTTTGTAAATTTAATTCATTTTTATTTTAAGAGTTAATTGAATGATGATGTTTAGAAAATAAAAAATCATGAGTTAATTTGCAACAATTAAAATATCATGATAGGATCAAACTAGAAAAGGAAAGGATATCATCTATACATATTCCTGTTTTTCATAAATTTGGTAACTATAATTGAATGTAAATAATGTAAGTTTTTAAACAGGAATTTGTAATCGTGATTCCCGCATGCCAAAATCCTGCAATATTTGTCTCCGAAAAAGAACCAAGCACTATATTAGCTTTTGAGTTCTTCTACAAGATCACATCCTATGGTCCTCTCTTCACATAGGAGATGCTCATATTAGATGCATCTGATTTTTACCACATTCATGAAGACAATCTCTTTATAAAGGTTGAGAATCAGTAGAACTTGACCTAGTATATCCACGACTTACATGTTACCTTTGGTTTATCTCCTTAGAACTAAATGAACATCATCAGTACCTTTTATATCTATGTTGTCATTTGCAAGCAAGAATGAGTTTTAATATTGTTCTTGAAAATACATGGGTTACTACTCTTTCGCATTCCAAAATCGAGTTGATAGTAAAGCAACACATATGAGTGGCAGTGGACCTATATAAGAAGAACTCAGCTTTTAATTACAACAATAGTGACCTTTTAAAGTAGAAATATCTATTGAAGGTATCGGCTGAGTAATTTCAGATAAAGGAATATGAACTTGATGAAGGACAATGCATGAAGCTCGAAGAGGTGATAAGGAAAATGTTTTAACAAAGGAATAGATTTTGAGTAAAAATCAATTAGGGGGTCGTAGTGTGAATGAGAATCAATCAAAGCCGGACAAGTTGTTTGTTTTACTCTACAACTACTTGTGTTGGGTAAACTGTAATGAAATGTTTGTGAATACTAAGTTCTTGTAGGTTTCTGAATAAAACTTAGTTAAGGATGTTTTCATGGTTCAAAGCTTGGTGAATTAAAGCTTTTAAAAGCTTCTGTAATCGTTAATTATTCAAGATCATCCTATAAAGTTGTTAAGAAAAAAATAAAAAAATTGATGATGATTAGAGGAGAGCGTTTCAAACAGATAAGTAGAGACGAAAAAATAATTGAACAAACACTGTTAAAACAAAAGAGGATGACAAAATAGATAAAAGTAAATGAGAGTAAAAAAAATAAGGATGACCAACGAACGGTGCTCAAGATTTTCTATGTTGTTATCAGCTACCAATATAACATTTATGCGGTTTTATGATAATATGACATGTTAATTAGAAGGTATTAATTTGATTGTTTACTAAAGTGTTTATTTGAAAAATTTTCAAAACTATAATGTTTGTGTAAATACAAAGTTGCGAAATGATTAATTTGCACAAAAGTATATAGTGAATAAAATATTCGAGTGTTTAAACTATCACATTTTTCTACCCTACTTCAATACGCATTTCCATTATTTTTTCATCTTTCCTTTTTCCAATTGCCATCATACTCCTCTCTCACTCTTATCTCCTTAATCATTGATATCTCATTTTCTACTTCTTACTTTAATATACAACCGATTACAAACTTTCATCTCTCTTTTTAAACCCTCGTGTTGTTGCTTTATTATTCCTTTCTTTCATCTTATATTGTCGACTTTTTTTAATTTCTCAGTAAAATTAGTGTTCGGAGTTATGTAATTTAATTAACAAGAAAAAAAAAATAGTAACAAAAAGTAATGATAAAATCTAAGGTTATTTTTTTTGTATTTTTGAAATAATTATTCTATTTACGTTTCGACTATCCAACACTATGCAATTTTTACACACTTTTCTTAGCCGAACATGCTTTAAAATAGTTTTATATTCCTGAAGAGCATAATATACCCATCTAAATTAGCATCTAAAGCTAATCTCGCATAAAAAAAATTTAGATTATATAGTGAATTACTAATATACAACAACAAAACCGGCTTAAATATTCTAAGTTATAATTATAAAAAAATACATTTTAGAGAAAAAGAGAGAGAGAGAAAGAGAGAGAGAGAAAGAGAGAGAAATTCATAGCCAAAATTTTTCTTCACAAATGGGGGGGAGTGGGGTAAGGAAAAAGAAAAGACTATCCCTTTTTAAGAGGGAAGATATAAAAATCCCACGTGACATAGGTCTTAGCCGTGGACAAAAGAAAGTGTTTTGTTCCTTTTATTGGTAATATATAAACTATATAATATATATCTCAACCAACATGAAATTAATATGATATCGTGTGGAATTTTGAAAGCATCATATGATTTCCCCATCACTATACTAGTACACTAGAAACTTGTGGATACTATTCGATTGTACTATATATGTAGACCATAGAGCTTTAGTGCACATTATCCTCAATCAATATATATATATATATATACACACACACATAATATATCGTATAGACATACGTATGTTACGAGACTTTTTTCAATGCTTTAAGAGAATATGCCATCTTTAATTCTTTTCTATATATTTTATTAGTCAGATAAATCTTACATATTAAATCATCTAACTATCCGATTAACCGATTTAAAAAAAGATTACTAAAAATACGATCATTGAATTCGTAGATAGAATATAAGAGTTTTAAACTTTGAAGCTTAAAATTTTAATTTAAAGAAAATTTGTAAAAGAACATGGTATGATCAAAACATTCCCAACGGTATACCTATATATAATAGGAGATAATATATATCAGCACATACCCATTATATCAAAATGCCTCTAAATCTGACTTTAAATACAACAATGGTAAACCTAGCTAGATGATAATCAGATATGGACTTGGGTACTTTCAAACTCTTTTTAACTTTTCTTTTCATCATGAAGCTGAACTTTGGCGAACACCGGTTGGAGTAACCAAGTTGAAATAAAAATACATCGTAATCGAGCTGATAAATGAATCATTCTACGACACTAAACTATGATGATCAAAGGGATTCTTTTGACAATCCTATTAGCAAAATCAGTTTCTAACTTGGAAAGCAAGCATAAAGGCAAATTATATTATTATTTGTGCAGATGTATTTAAAACAACAGATGACAAAAAACACATCATAATGACACAGAGAAGAAGTTAAATAATGGGGGCCAAAAAAGAGAGACTAAAAAGTTTTTAAGGTCAGTGGTCAGCTACTCTCACCCACCTTTGGGTGGGTGATGTAGTTAAAGGTGTAAAAGACCTTCCACTGGCATTTCTATATTTGTACAGAAATTTTAAATCCTACCACCAATCGTAGTTTCTCCTCAAATCATTACTACTGCTATAGTTGCCAAATCTGGAAGATGAATATCTGTGATAAGAAGCCTTACTAGAAGAAGAATGAGGACTTGAAAAATGACCAATGGATTTTGTCGTTGAAATCTTATGACTCTCTTTAGTTGTCTTATGGCTCTCTTTAGTTACCCTTGAGAGGGACCTCCAATGTTTACTTTTGGTTTTTCGAGGAACAGTTTCAGGATCTTCCGAAATCCAGCCACCTCTCTGTTTTGCTTTTTGTGGTGTTGTGACTCTTCCATCTTTATATACAATCCTTTTCCTCTTGGACTTGCCAAGTTCAGAGGGAGCAGACTTGAAACCCGAGTAGTCTTTATTTTCCCTTTGGGGTCTGAGAGGTGGGGTTGATAACTGATGATTCCTTTTGCCGACCTGAATATGGCCCAGCAGCCTAATTAATAATATTACAAAGGAGATAAATAGTTCCATGAAAGGAACAGAATAAAGTGTACAGGCGCCTATGATTTTGAAATAACAAGATTTAGAGAATACTTGCTTTGAAAGAATTTGTGCACTCGCGTGCAAAATGTCCTCTTTCACCACACCTAAAGCAAGAACTAGGCGAACCCATGCCCATGGTTTCCCCACGTAACCTTACACAAGCCTGCATAAACAGATTCTCATATTAACAAATGGCATTATGAAAGATATGAAACAAAATCACAGAATTCAGAATGCCTCGTTATCACATCAAGATAGAGAAGTATTTCAAAAACACAATGCTTGTGGCAGTTCTGAGACATCTTGGAGTACATATGCAAGGAATTAAAACATTTAAATTGAATTTTCAAACCAATCAAATGGAGATATACCATGGCTCCCCTTTTTTACTTGTCATATATCGATTTGTTACATATGAACCTAAGAACGTCAACCACTACTTAGCATAGCAATTCATGTAACTAAAAGATCAAAATTTCCTGCAACAATTATGTGGGGGATGGGAAACTGACTACAAATCCGAAAAGTCAATAGCAATTCAAGGGTCAATTTAGGTCCCATCATAAACAATTACATAATGTATTTGTGATGTAATCAATAATTTTTTTTTTTTTTTGAAATACAATGAATCAACGATAATTAAGCTGCAGTATGTCCAAGATGCATTGAAAAATTTGAATAGACTGCATACCCAACTTTACAGGCCTTGCATCTCTAAATTGGATATATGGATAGACATTATTTGGATTTAAAAGTTATAAAGAACAAAAAAAAGTTCTACAAATGAGAAGTACGGTATTGCAAAAAAATATTAGAAACAAAATATTGCAGTCTTCAGCCAAGTCATAGAGGATACTAGGGTAGAAAAATCCAGGATATCCAAATACAAGACAACAAAAAACCAAGTGTACCTTATAATAGATTGGAACAATTTCTCTTATCAGCAGCTATCAGATTTAGTCAAATGTACTTTTTACATATACCCATTTCCTAATAACAGCAGCTTAGCATCAACCCACCAGTCCCACACCTGAACCACTAGTTATTACAAAGAATGGAAGAATTATGACTTACCAAGCTAGTATGACCTAGCTCACACAGTTAGTAGCAAGAAGAAGTTCTGAACTAATAGATGAGCAATCAACTACGACATATGATAAGTTGAATTATTTCGCACATTACTGAAGGAACTCAAAGGTGATTTCACCATGTCTTCATCTTTATTTATCATAAGATTCATCAGAAATAATTTGAGATTAATGCTTAATAATTCCAATGATAAAGAGGGCCTGGAACAAGTTGTGATCATGTGGTGGGAGTGAGATCCTAGACTACACCGTCAATATAACGCATTTCTCCAAATGTACATTTTACCATATCAAACATAAAACTCCCATCTGCCAACACTAGTAGCTTAGCATCAATTGACAGACCCATAATGACCCTTCTAATCCAATAAATGTAGCAAAAAAATCGTGGCTTACCAAGCCAGTATGACCCAACTGACCGCATTTGTAGCAAGAAATAACTCTTGGACCAGCATCAACGGGACTCACACAACTTAAGTGGCCGAAATTCTTGCAGGCATAACACTGTATCTCCTGATAAAAAACAAAACATCCAAAACAAAGTTAAAGACAGAATTCCATATCAAATTCAAATTCAGAAAAGACAAACTTCACAAAGGTCACAAATAGGAGTTCGAACAATTTAACCAAGGGAAACAGAAAAAACCTTCAGATCATCTTCGACATAATCATTCCGGCATGAAAACATATCATGCCCAGCATCTCCACATTTTAAACACATGTTACCAGTCTTAAAGACACTGTTGTGTTTCTCTGGACAGTCCTTCGCGTGGTGGCGTCCATTTTTGCAAATAAAGCAATTCTGTACCTAGAAGATCCAAGTAATACTTGTGTCAATACTTGAGGTATATTTACCCCATACCAAAAAGAAGGGAACCTTAAAGTATAGAAATGAAAATAGCAAGAAAGACAGAGATACTATATTCAATATTGGGATAATGAAGGACACAAATCCCAGACATGTATCTAGTGCTCAATGTTCAACATTTTTAAAAGAAGTGTCAAATTCTGATATAATATCTGATCAGTAGTCTTCTTTTTAAATAGGGAAAAAACGAAATGTTATTCCGAAGGTGCCAAGCGATACCACCAAGTATAGTACCTGGTTGTTCAGGAAAGGCAGTGCATGTACATTAATTTTGTATAATGATCAATATCAAATGCGCATCTTCTCTCAGTCAAAAGATGGAAATATACAAGAACCAGGAAGGAATATTTGTCAATACAGCAATATATTGGGCATAAAATAAACTGATGAGGAATAAAATGGAAGCCTGATCGAAGCAAAGTACGTGATATAGAGGGAAGCTGCAGACAAAGACGAAGAACCAAACAATAGGCAGACCAACTAAAAAATAAAAGAAACAAAGTTTAAATTTCTGCATTTTTTTGTTGGTGCAGTGGAAGGATGGGTTTCAAAAGTATGCTTTGATACTAATTGACATAGGACACTGTGATGGAGCAAGATAGAGGAAATCAAGGGTAACAATGAAAAAAGGAAAAAACAACAGACAAGAACAAAGGAGACTACAATGATAAAGGGAAGAGCACAGACAAAGAAATATAATAATAACCAAAATCCTAGCAATTAATTCTCTATTCATCATCTCTTCTATAGTCTACATCAAGTAATCATTATACACGCACTAATTACAATGGAATAAGGAAAATACAACAACAAGAAAGACAAAACTCAAAAATTTCTAAATCTGAATAGAGCTAGAAACCTACTATATCTTGTTTCTTAAAAATAAAGAAACCTACTAGATCTACCTATACGGCCTAAATAATTTCAAAATATTTAAATAATAATAGTTATAAAAATATTCCCATTAACTTGTCTTCGTTCTGATTCACAAAGTATATTGATTCCGATCCTTTGTTGAATTAACAGCCAAATCAGTTGAAAAGAAAGTGAAAAAAATTAGCTTTGTGCCCTCTCACAACAGCAACTCCATAAATCAAGTGAAGGAAAAACATTAATGATTGTACTGCTGGATTTACCAATTCATTCAATCATTTCCCCACATTTTTACTTAAAAAGAGGAATGTAGGCCAATTTGATTTATATTTCCCTCTTATTCGACAAAAATATGTATATGGTGTCAATAAAATTAGCTACAAGTCTGAGAATGCAAATCTTAATTATCAAAACATGCTCCTTAGCATCAGCACTACAAATAAAAAGACCCTCCTCTGCCTCCCCTCCCCTCCCCCCACCCACCCTCTCCCCCGTCCAAAAAAAAACATCTGCCTCACACGATGTTTGGGCAAAGATTAATAAAGGAATAGTGAGGAAATAAAATGAAAGGAAAGAGAAATCTTTAAAGGAAGCGAAATGAGAAGTGTTATCGTCATTAGGATAACTAAATTTGAAATATTAAGAAAAATGATTGTTGCAATACTTTATTTAAAAAACTTCTCTTTAAAATTTTAAGCACTTTCCTTTTCCCTCCTTTTCTCCGAGCTTAAATGAATGAAAAATTACAATTTTAAGGTAAATGGGTTGATGTCACAATTTCTCCCTTTATAAATTAAACAAGAGAAAGAATGGTGAACATATCACTTTCTTTCCTCTCCTTCCGTTTCCCTCAATGCAAATATAATGCCAGAGAAGTATTATCACACAACCATGTAAACATCAAATTTTATCAACTCCAACGTTTAGGGAAAGATGGAAAGAGAGAGAGAGAGAGATAAAGCACATAGTACAAGGAGCTAACTCAATAATAAATTAAGATTTGCAATTGGATTTTATCCTTACAAACCTTTTGGCATTGTTTGGCACCATGGTCTAAACTGCCGCATACAAAGCATGGTTTCTTCCGCTTTATAGCTGAAGGACAATTCACTGCCATATGCCCTTCTTCACCACAGTTATAGCATGTTTCCCAGCCACTATCTGGAGGATCAAAGTACCTTGGTCCACGCTGATAGAACAAATTAACAGATATACTCAACTCAGCCTTTCACATGGAATTATATTTTTCTTTTTTTCAAAATTGCAGCTCAGAGCAACATTTTAACTCACAAGAAGCTTCCGGAGCACCATATTATCAGATATCTCAACAGCCTTTTGATCCAAAGATTCAACCATCTCTATATCCGTCATTGTTTCTGCCTTCTCATGTACCTCCACCTGGCCAACTGTATCTTCTTTTGCTTGCTCCTTGCAAATAATGCCCTGCCGCAGCAGAGTACAATTATTGCACTTAAGAAGGCAAACTGTTAATCCACATTTTTGCTACTTGCAACACTATAAGCTCATTAGACAAAAGCAGGCTTCTGAAAACCATACAAAAGTTGCAGGTTGGAGAAAAACAACCGAACTCATGGAATAAGAAAAGTAATAGACATTCTTAAGCACACACAGAGAGGTATATATAGAGTGCAAACATAACTGGACCATAATCATGAAATACCGATAACCACCAACAAATAATTGAACTATGTGCTGTCTTGTCAGTAGATGCACAATTTCAATTTAACGTCAAAATGTCAATTAACAAAAAGCACAATGCGAGCACGAGATGATACCACTTCTCCAAACAATCAATGGAGATAGTTATAAGAATCAACTGATCAAATACCCTGCAACTAACATGGCACTATAGAGGACTTCGATTTTTCTCAACCAAAAATTCGTTTCCCAATAAGAAGAGTAAAATTGGTATTTTCAAATTACAAAAGTAAGCTTTTATCTGAAATCAAACCCGATAAAGTGAAAATGTCTCCCTCCAAAATAACACTTAAACGGCATTCCATTGATGAAACTCCTAGGAATATAAATCAACATCAAAAGCTTACAGATGAAGAGTCTAATACTCACAGAGTTCTCTCCAATTTCCACTTCGACTTTCTTCATCTTCTTCTTCCTAACTTTATTTTTCTCTCTCACAACCGCAACCGCCTCACTACTGACCCCATCTGGCCCCGCCAAATAATCATCTGTTTCCTGGGAGGACGATGAGCAGAGATCCACTATGCTGCTCCCATTCGAATCTTCAAAAACAGAACCTACTTTCTGGTCTCGCTTTACAGCTCGCTTCAACAGGGCTTTCTCCACGATCTTCAAGCTCAGGTCCTCGTTTGCTTCTTCGTCGTCGCTACTGAGTATTACCACATCATTATTTCCTTCTCCGTCTTCTGCATCAAATTTACCCTTTCGCTTCTCTCTCCTCGCCATTATCAAAAACTCACAAAATCTCGATCCTGATCCCCGACGGTAATGACGAATTTGACCAGTTAATGGGGGAGGACGATGGTAATGGCAATGGCTAGGGTTTCTAAATTACCCTTCACGAAACTATTTTTTTAGAAAAATGGGCGACACGAGAAGAATTTTAACAGAATCTAATGCGTTAAATAGATATTGACCCGGAATCCCGGCCCGGGCTAATCGGTATTCATCCGACTTTGGACCCGGAATTGGATCCGGCTCTAATCGGTATTCGACCCGGAATATGGACCGGGTCATTATAGTCCATAATCCTATATTATCATAAAGGAATTATCCGTTAACCAACCCAACATGCTCTTGAATCTTGATGAAGTGACTAAAAATAAAATATTAAGTTGGTGTATATAAAAAGTTATAATTTCAAAATAATTATAGATTTAAATATATATATCTTGTCCCGTTATGTTATATTTTTATTATGATTAATCAATTTTTAATTAATAAACTAATGAAATTGATATATATTATATGATATATTTAAAAAATATTACGATATACTTATAACTAAAGTTAATAAATTAAATAATAAAAAATAAATTATTAAAAGAGTTAAATGTTGTTTGTTCTATTATTATTGTAAAGAAAGTCAATAGTAATTTACTTTTTACTATTTTTGGTACTCGTAAAGTAAAGACTTACAAATCTCGTAAAAGCACGTGTTAATATTGTACAACAGAAAAACAGATGTGTTAATATTCTATAAATCGTAAAATAAGCTTAAATTCAAAATTTATTTCTGAAAAAAAAAAGTCATATTCTTTTATGAAAGCGTGACTTAACATCCGAGTGCTAGTATTGAAAAATTTAAGGTGTCTAATTTAAGTCACTATTCTCTTTCTATATGCATATCTATATAAAATAAGTTCGAACCATAAATCATAAAATTCCAACTTTATCCTTAGAGTAGATCTTTTAATTACTATTTTCATAGTTCTATATTATATTATTAGACTTTAAAACTCATTATAAGCGCTTTTAAAATTCATCATAAAGCTTAAAACGTACATACATAAGAAATATTTGTATGTAAAATATTTGAAAAACAACTAACAACTCATGGAAAATCAATAAAACGAAGCAAAAAAAAAAAAACTAATTTCAATAGTTGAATACAGTTGATATATTCATTAATCTTCCTATATTGAAAGTGGTTCACGATTCACGATATTGATTTGATTTTTTTTTGTCAAATATTTATCTAATTACCCAATTAAGTATATTAAGAAAATAAAATAAGATATTTTAACCAAAAATATTTTTACTACAAAATAATTTGGAACAAATATTTTATAATTAAATTAATAACCACTGTCTTTCTCAAAATATCGAAAGCAGTCATGAACCCTTAAGCTAAATTTTTTATTTTTTGAATCATCACTATTTTGTCATATGTAGATCATATAAATATATAATCACTACTCTCTAAATAGACAAATCTTTATACGTAGGTGATAATATTATGTATATGAAGTAGGAAAAAAAGGTTATCTTTACTATTTTGAAAATTATTATTGATCATGATCCCATATTTTTTAAAGAAAAAAATAATACTCTCGTTAAAAATAGACAAATAGTTTTGTTATTATTTAGCATATTTCCATCTTAAAAAAAAATAAGAAACCGAAGACATCAAATCTTCCAATGAAAAGCTCGACCTATCAACTTGGATTTATTTTCTTAATAATCAATAAAATCTAACACCTCCCATGATATATGCTGATTTTTGTATATTTTAGCATTTTACTACGTTAATAAATGATCAACTGAAAAAAATGAATATATTATATTTTACCATTCGTTTTATATATAACGAACAATAAGGATATTATTTTAATATGTCATGTATATTTAACTATATAAAATGAAGCTGCCATTATAAGCATCTCATTATAAATAAATTTAAGCTCATAAAAAGACTTCATCCTAAAAATAGGTTAATAAAGCTAATATAATAAAATATATATATATCTAATATGAGAGCAATTACTTAAATTTTTTCTATTGTCTCTTATTTGCATCTTTCTATATACTACCTTCAGGTGCCAAATTGTGATATTATTTTATGAAAGTAATAACACTTCGTACACTACTTTATTTCATCAAGTATTCTCGTACACAATCTTTCTCCTTTAAGCACCACCCTCTTTATGTGCTATATTCCCTTATATGTTTCATAAATCATTTAAAATCTCATAAACTTAAATATTAAAACTCTCATCGGACGTTCCTTTTTCGGCACACGTACTCCCCTAACATAACTATCGTTCATGAAAAGTCCACGAGTTTTGCATGTGAGACTAAACTACTAAATTTATCCACAAAGATCGTAAACATCTCTCCCATATGCTTGCTTGTTGGCTACCCGACCAATGTGGAATTCCTTTGTGCATTAAAACTTTGATCCTTTAACAAATTCCACATGTTATCTTTTATCCATTTATTCGCTATTTAATTTTTTTTTTCAGTAATTGTTTCCTTATTTTAAATAATATTTAGCTTATATCTCTGTATGTATTTTGTTGTAGAGTCAAATATTATATTATAATTTTTAATTCATTATAACTAATATTATAAATTATTTTAAAATTCAATCCAAATACATTATTATATTTAATTTTATCATATTTATATCAAATAACTAGTATATTTTATTCAATGACTTATGACGTTAAAATTTATCAGCCTTTATATTTTAATAAAAATGCATGTCTAAATATTTATTAATAAGTCCTTAAATTATGTTAATTGTGTGAAAGTTTTTAACAACTATCGTACATGTATATATATATAAGTAAAAGACACGTGATAACTTATATATTTTAATTTTTTTTTTAAATATTTGAACAAAATGTTAATATAATCTCGTACTTACATAATCTTTTAGGATAATCTTATTTAACATACAATTTTTATAATATAAATATAAATTTTATAAAAATTTAAAAATATTTTTGGCATAACAATATTTTTCACATAAAAATAAATATAAAGACGAGTTATTCGATAATCCGCTTTAATTCATCAAGAATGAATCGAGTAAAATTTTATAATTTAATAAAGTACGAGACATATATATATTGAAAGTTAAAAAATATGGGAGCATAAATTTAATTATATACGAGTTCTAACTCACAACAAGTATGATTACTAAAATTTTATTTTTATTTTTATTTTTAGTTATATTTAAATTAATCAAAATTTATATTTTATATATAAATTATATTTATTTTGAAAAAGAAAATCTTATTTAGCGTGGAAACGTGCGAAAATTAATTTTCTTTTAATAATTTTTTTAATTAGAGCTTTGAGAAGCGGGGGAAGTCTTTTGCCTACTTCTTCCGCATTTACCCTTGAACGAAATTACCAAAATACCCTTCCTCCAAATAAAGACCGGCAAAAACCATTTCCCCCTCTCGACCACCGTCTGGTGTGATCTCTTTTGCTCTCTCCTCTCCGTGTGGGAAAACAATAATCCAATCCCTCTTTCTTCTATCTTCTTTTTCTTCTTCTTCTTTTCTTCTACTCTTCTGTACAAATTTCAAATCGTTACACCATGACCGTGATGACGCCTGCCGCCATAGATGTATGCTTCCGAATTCCTTCTCTGCGTGTTTTTGCATAGTTAGTTAGATAAATAATACATACTTCTGCTTAATCCACTGATAATTTTTTACGATTTCGGGAAGGAATTGTCGAGATCGTTTTTTGTTTTATTTGGTGGTTTTTGTTCGTCGGTTTGGTGGTAATCAGGTTGTTCGTAATCTAGGGCTTTATTTTCGATGCGTGGCTTTGTTTAGGTTAGTTTGGATTGGGCAGTGGTATCTGTGATTGATGCTCGGGGCTCTAGGGTTTTTTGGGATTGAATGGGGTTGGATTGAAGTGGATCCGTGGTCTTCTGATTTGCTTATCTTGCGATTTCTCATGTTTATTGTTGTCTCTGTTTTTTGATAATTTACTTCAGCAGCAAGAAGATGAGGAAATGCTTGTGCCGCACTCGGATTTGACTGACAATCATCAACCTATGGATGGTAATGGTTGCTAATTTGATCCTGGAAATGAATGCATTTTTGTTCCTGCTGCTGTTTTTTGTGGTCCAGTATTTTGTGATTGCTTAGTCAAATGACTCTTTTCTTCTTTTACATCTTGTTTGATTACGAAGAAAACATGTGAATGCACATGATATGTAATTTTCTTGATACTAGATTTTATTACCGCTGGGGACTTGAGAAAACCAGAAGAGTTGCTTTGGAGATTTTGATAGTATTAGGGTATTTAAATTTTTTGATTGCATTAGCACTTCCATTTTATGTAGTAATTGTCCATTTGCAACCAAATGGTGGGCCTTTTGGTTTTTTCTTTTTGGACTTTGCCGGTGAAAGTCAAGATGTTGCTTTAGTTAAAACAGAAAGTCAATTTGTAGTTACAGGGAATTATCGTCGGGTTGTAATTTAATTTTCGTCCTCTTTTGATCAATTATTAGTTGTGGCACAACCGGAAACTGCAAATAATGCAGAGAATCAGTCAGTGGAGGATCCTCCCTCCTCGAGATTCACATGGAGGATTGACAACTTCTCTAGGTTGAATACAAAGAAGCATTATTCAGATATGTTTATCGTCGGTGGTTATAAATGGTAGTGCCAACCTCTTCTTGCTTTCTGTGTCCTTGTGCTTTTCCGATGATTTTTGTTGCTGGCTGGCATTTTTATTGGGGGCTTCTTTTACTTTGCTGTATACAGGCGTATCCTTATTTTCCCTAAAGGAAACAATGTGGATCATTTATCTATGTACCTGGATGTTGCTGATTCAGCAAGCTTGCCATATGGGTGGAGCAGATATGCACAGTTTAGTCTGGCTGTGGTAAATCAGATCCATAGCAAATATTCAGTGAGAAAAGGTGTCTTTTCAAACATGCATATGTTACAATATACACATGCACTTTGTTTCATAATTTATAAGGCTTACGTAACTTTGTTTCTGGCTGTTGATGCTTTAGAGTTGAGTGCTCATCTAGCACCATTGTCTAATTAAAATCTGAATTTGATGTAAAATATTTGTCCTTCAGTATGCTAACGAAAATATACCCTCTCTCCACTTTGCAAGCCCCTTTTTGCTGTCTGTCGGTACCTGTGGCTTCATTTGACATAGCATTGGATATTTTTCTATGTCATGCTGTTGGATGTTTGTATGCCATGTTCTAATGCTTTTTCTATTGGATCAATTTTGGTGATGGAATTTTTAATGAGTAAATTAATTTCTATTATTTACTTGAATTAAAATGTGTATGTTATTTCTTTTTGTATATGGGGGTATCCCCTTGGTACCTTTGTCTATAATAATATACTTATATTTCATTTTTTTTAAAAAAAAAGTATATGGTATTTCTTAAGAAAAGGACGATTTAATTTCTATTTTCTTGTGTGAAATAGAGTGTTACGTATTACAAGAAATTCAGATGAGTGTAAATGAGATATTGATCCTTTCATGGAACTTAAAAAGATGTTGAGGAGTTTAAGAAACAGTGGTCAAGCTCATGTGGAACAAATAAATTTCTGATCTAACTAATTCCAGTGGTTGCTTACTTTAGAGAAATTGTTCTGGAAGGGATAAGATGGTTTTCTGCAGTCAGGCCTTGCTCAAAATATCAAAACAAATCACTTGGGACAAGGTTATAAGGAGCATCCTTGAAGTCTTTCTCTCTCTCTCTCTCTGAACCCAGTTTTATAGCCCTTCTTTAATGCAGTCTATAGAGGCTGCATATGAGAATGTATAGAAGGCACTTCCAGGAGGCCCTTGTTTGTTTTTCTATTACTTCCATACAAATAAACACACTTCATTCTAGGAAAAGTGCTAAAGTAAGCGAGGCTACCATCTTAGCAAAGTAGTTACACAAAGAGTTTGTGTTAGACTTCATGTAGCTTGGTCTGCTAGACTAAACATCAACATGTTGCAAAGAGGAGTGCTGCTGTAACCATTTGCCTTGGCTGGACATGAGATGGCATGTCATATGTTTTGCCATATTTTAGATTTAGCAAAGTATCTTCTTTATCCCAAAAATATTGTTTTCTGCACAAAAAAGTTAAATTTGAAAGCTAGAATCCATCTAAACTGTTTCTTGAGTGCCTATGTTTGTGCAATTCCATTTTATTGGGTTTCTACATGTTGGATTTTAAAAAAGTAAGGAGCATAACCCATCAATAAGAATATCATAGTGGTATTCCCCTAGTGCCTGATTAATGAAATATCTCTCTCTCTCTCTCTCTCTCTTTTAAATCTCTTATATATTATGTTTCATACCAATAGCATGCTGGAAATTCATTTTTTTCCCATTCTGCAAGACAGAATTAGTTTTCTTGTTTTCCCATGTGGAAAAATTAATGTTTATAACAGAGTTAATCTAAAAGCCTGCCATCATTGATGATTATGATTATTGCAAAATATCATACTAGTTTTGTTTTTTCTGCTTGGGAAACTTAATCTAAAATTCAATGATACTAGTTTATGTTTTATATCTTGGATGCATATTTCCTTTTTCTTTTTTCCACCTTTCACACCTAGGCTGAATATTATTTCCAGAAACCATTGATGCAGCAGTATAGATTAGAGTGTAATCTTGTAATTGCTTTAGTGCCTCACTCACCTAGGAAATATTATACCCATGTTATGTTGCATCAAGTTTCCTGTAGTCTTCACTCTTGAGGATCCTACTTGAATGTAATCGAATTAATTAGGTGTAGCGAAAAGCTAACTTGGCCTTGTAGAGATCTTTTAGGTTTCCTGTGAAAATTAAGACTAAATGTGAAAACTTTGAAGAGAAGTTAAGAAATGGAAACGTCAAGGTGGCGAGCATATTCAAATGTTTCATGGTAGGTCTTATAGAATAATAGTTTTTGTTTAAATTAGTTTTGATTTCTATGTTTGTGCTTCTTTGTCCCATTTCTAATTGTTTTTAGTATCATTTAGAAAAAACTCAATTTAGGGTAGAATCTTGTGGTTCATTTACCATATGAAAACATATCTAGTTTTTATTTATCAGATTCATACATGTTTATACCTAAAAATATGTTTAACCATTCTCCTTTTTTCTCCCAGAAACATATATTTATACCTAAGTATATTATGGTGGTATTTGTTTGTGCGGTTCAAGTATAGACAAATTTTTAGGTAATCCCAAACAAAACTTTCTAATCTTTTCACTTGCATGCCATGGACCATTATTTTCTTCATATATATGTATGTATATATATATATTCAACTATTAGATATTTTTTGTGCATAAGACAAGATTCAACCAAGAGAGACTACTGGAAGTTAGGGAACATCAATGGCCGGGAAGTTTATGAGCATGAGACATTACTCCTTGCCCTTATGGGAGTCAGGATTGATGATACTAGAGACCATCCACTCTGGAGTCTTAATGATAAAGGTTCTTTATGAGTTCTTCTTACAACAATTTGACAAAGAGAGAGACTGCTTGAAGAGGCTTCCGTTACAGGAAAATTTGGAAGGTTAATGCATCATCTGCAGTTGTTGTTTTTTTTTTTTGCGTGGAAGGCTTCCTGATGTTGCATTTTAACCCTGTACCAACTGATCAGGAGGGGTGTGGTTTTGGTAAATTGTTGTTATATGTGCAGAAGGGATGTGGAGTCACGTAACCATCTACTTTCCTAGGTGTCCTTTTGTATATAGACTATGGACCCTTCCTTATGGTCTGTTGGGTATTAGTTGTGTGATGGCTGGTTCGGTGAGGAAGAGAATATGGGCGTAGAAAGGGATAAGAGGTGAGAGGAGACATGTGGGCCTTATTCCATTTGCTACTTTCTGGTTGGTGTGGAAGGAAAGGAATATGAGAGCTTTTAAGGACACAAATATCAATTTTGGCAAAGTTAAGGATAATTGGTTCCAGACCTAGGTTTTTTGATTAAGTGGCATCATGTTTAGTGACATTCTGATTGATATATAAATATTTTCGTAAATGGGTTGCGTATCTTTGCTACCTGCAAATGAATTAATACATACATGTTATTTCCAAAAATAATTTTCATATACAAACATATATTGTATGTAAACATATATGAATATAGGAAATGAAAATAAGAAAATGCTTATATGTATTAAATAGTGGCTTTGATTCGTGGATGAAATACTTTTTAGGGGTATCAAATTTTTATTAGTTCATTTTTCTTATGCCATTATATTTCCCTATGGCCATACTTGTTTAGATGGCATCGATCCTCTGTTTAAGGTATTTCTTCTGTACAGTCAAATTGCATTACTTGTTGATTACCTCTCTTGGATGTTTATAACCCATACTTGCACTCTCATGGACATTGGTTCACTTGCCCTGTGTAGCCATGTTATTTAGACAATCTAATTTGGATTTTGAAATACTTTCTATGTGAGTCTTCTAGTCATGGTTATGTAGTTCTTTTAACATTTGCTTATGTTACATTGTTATTAAAAAGAGATGTGTAGGCCTGGAGTTATATATTCTCAAGAACTTTGTGCATTGTACAGATACACAACATCAATTCAATGCACGAGAAAGTGATTGGGGTTTCACATCCTTTATGCCTCTTGGTGAACTATATGATCCTAGTAGAGGGTATCTTGTGAATGATACTTTGATAGTTGAAGCTGAGGTTATTGTTCGCAGAGTGGTGGATTATTGGACATATGACTCAAAAAAGGAAACTGGTTATGTTGGACTCAAGAACCAGGGGGCAACATGTTACATGAACTCTCTCCTCCAAACTCTCTACCATATTCCATACTTCAGGAAGGTTGGATCTATCACCTCTTTTATCTTTGAATTTACCACTATTCGCCCTTCCTCTGCATCCCTAATGATTTAGATTCTACTTTACAGGCAGTGTACCATATGCCTACAACAGAGAATGACATGCCATCTGGAAGCATCCCTTTGGCTTTGCAGAGTTTATTTTATAAGCTCCAGTATAGTGACAGTAGTGTTGCAACTAAAGAGCTGACAAAATCGTTTGGATGGGACACTTATGATTCTTTCATGCAGCATGACGTTCAAGAACTTAATAGGGTTTTGTGCGAAAAACTCGAGGACAAAATGAAGGTTTGGGTCTTAACAGTGCTTACTTTGATTAGGATCTTCATATGCAAGCTCTAATTAGAAGTTCTTATTTTGTTGACATGTTGTCAGGGGACTGTTGTAGAGGGTACTATACAACAGTTATTTGAAGGACACCATATGAACTACATTGAATGTATCAACGTGGATTACAAATCGACAAGGAAGGAGTCATTTTATGGTACATCTTATTTTCCTAAGTGGGTTGGGTTTGTGGATGTGGGGAGGTGTAGGAGAAAGAAAGAATTCTATGTAAGTTGTGATTGCTTTTCTTTTTCTTTTTTCTGATGGTAACTTATTTATGTTTATGCCAGATCTTCAACTTGATGTTAAAGGTTGTCGTGATGTTTATTCTTCCTTTGACAAGTATGTAGAAGTTGAGCGTCTCGAGGGTGATAATAAGTATCATGCTGAACAATATGGGTTGCAGGTAAGTGATTATTGTGTTTAACAAAATGTAAATTCATATTGAGATTTCCTAAGCGAATGTAAACTATTTATTTCGGCAAGCAATTATATTGTACGTAGGCTGATGTATGCATTTCGTTTATTGTTATTTTTTGTTGAACTTCTTTTGATTTTTGTCTTGTATTCCTAAAGAAATGAAATGAATCCATGGTATGAACATGAAGCCTTTCTTTGGAGTGTAACATGTTGGCAGCGAAAAGAGAGGAAATTAAAAGATTAAAACTCAATTTTCAAATTTATGTTTAAGTTTTTCATTAATCTTCTTTGTTCTTGATTTTGTGTTCTATGCAATCCATATTGTGAGGCTGTCTGGGATAGTATTCTCACCATGAAAAAGCTTACAAGGAGGGGTTATCACCAACAGATGCCCGATGTGCCTTTGAGACAATGAATCCTTGACCATCTTCTCTTATTGTGTTTGGAGGGTAGCAAGTGTAGGGATTTGGCTTTAAGCTTCTTAAGTATCTGAATTATTGGGAATCTGAACGATTGGCAAATTTCTGAGTGTGAAAAGCTGCTGGAGTTACTGTTAGAGATCAGGCTGAATAATATTGAGGATAAACTTGAATGGAAGATCACAAAAAATGGTTCTCTCTGTCAAATCTTGGTATAAGATTCTAAGGCAGGGTAAGTTATTCCGTATCATAGTGGGGTCGTTACACTGCCATTTCCTTACAAACTGATCTGGAAAATCAAGGTGCCTCCAAGGGTTTCATTCTTTGCATGGGAAGCTAGCAGAGAATGTATTTTGACCATAGATAAGCTTAGAAGGAGGGGGTTATCTTGGTAATGCTTCTTATCTCTACAAAAAAGCCGAGGAAGACTGCAGGCACCTTCTTTTACATTGCCCTGTTGTCTATCGTTTGTGGTGCATGGTCTACAACCGGTTGGGTATTCGCTGGGTTTGTTCGGGTTCTATCAAAGAAGAGATTTGGGCTTGGAAGCAATTCAGTAATAGCTGTATCCTTGCTGATTTGATTCCCATTTCGCTTATGTGGATTGTGTGGAAAGTTAGGAACTGTAAGGGCTTTGAGGGACTTGATGACACTAATGATTTTGATGTACTGAAGAATTGATGACTTAGTACCCTAATTTTCTTGCTTATGGGTCATCCTCTGGTATATTTTGAGTCTTTTAGGAAGATTATTGGTATGGAGGACTAAGCTGTAAATAATTGTACATGCTCTTTTTGCACCTCTGGTGCTTATACTAATACTATTCTACTATTTTTCACTTTAAAAAAAAGGTCTCTTAAGTATCTGAGCCATATTCTTTTATGGTGCCTAAAGGGGAGAATTTTATGGGATTCAGTCGTTAGCTTAATGGGTATAGGTTAGGTCATGAGTGCCACTATCCTTGTTGAATTGTGGGCTTGAAATGGGATCTGTGAGGAAAAGAACAAGAAGAGGCTGATTGCCCGTATCCTCGATCCAGAACATAATAAAAAATTTGATGGTCTCTTACTAATATTTCTAAAGATCTGAGATGGATGTCTATAGACCTTATTTATTTTGTTTATGGGTGATCTTTTTCACACGGGAAAAGATCTTGGGAATCTGCTAGTTATTTTTTGACTGATTGTTTCTTGTAAAGTTTGATACTTATGCACTTTTGTGGCACCTCCTTTGTGCCTTTTGTCTGTAATATCTTCTTTCTACTGAAAAAAGTTTCTTAGGTATCAAAATCTTTGTGAGTAGTCTATAAGGGA